CACACTCACCCAAGGTACAGTGGCTTTGGCCTCCCCATTGAGTCAGTGACACACTCACCCAAGGTATAATGGCATTGAGTAGTAACTTACCTCACAGGTCGACTACCATTCACATTTGATAACGATTTGTTAGAAGCTCTCATTTTACCCTCCTCAGATTGCTGTGAAATGAAATCACAATATTTGTATTAGGTTGCTTAACCAATTAGACTTCTAGACATATAAGGTAACAGTAGACAACTTTACTTCACTTCATTTCTCTATTCTGTTGTAATCAGTGCCTTGTTCATAGTAAAATACTCATCCTTCATATATCAATCTATCAAACAACTGCATGACAAGTGATTTAAGTCTCAGAAGTCGTGGAGCAGCAGCAAACTCACCAAATCTCTGACAACTTTGATTTTGACTAAAGCAGTTTTGGCCAACATAAACTTATATTTAAAATACTGTTTCTTTAGATATTACTAGCATTTGATGGTGACCGAATGAAGGGTAATATTGACTATTTTTAGTCAAAACCAAAGTAGTTGGTGGATTAGTGAACATATTAGCTAACTTGCTGCCTAAAGAATTGCTGCAAACACCACAAAATTTACCATTGTCCATTCACTGCGAGAATCACGCGTTATGCGTGAAACCGAATGTAAAAACAGGACAAACAAAGGTCATAGCGTTGTAGTGGCGTCAAACGTCGCGTGGGATTCGACAAACGCGAAAATATTTTGGGGGCATTCCCATGCTTAATAATGTGCTGTACAAATTTGATGATAAGCAATTTTGATTAAGTAAGGGTATTCGGAAGCAATATTCCTCTGTCGAAGATCGGCCGGTCGATGTGTGCTACAAAATTAAGAAATTCGAGTTCAAAATCAAATCGTTCGTTTTTTGCGGCAGATGTTCGACGCACGTCTTTCATGCTTCTCACGAGATCTCACAATTGTACGGAAAATCACCTATTATAAAGAATTTGTTTAGCTCATTCTATATGTATGTATATTGAGACGTTGTCCGTGCACGTCATGAAGCAACTTCGAATGAGTCTACATGTTGCTGACGTACACAATCATACACAATATCTAACACACCAGAAACCCACAAAATTATACAATATCATGTGTTATCACAAATAATCAATGTCTAGCCATACTTCATGTGTGTTCAGAAAGTAAAAAGAGAAAAATTGTAGAGGAGGTGCTTATCATATCAATACATTTTAGACCAAGTAACAACATCATGTAATGACACTATATTAAAATTATTGTATCAAACCAGCTCTGATATCTGGCAATAACATCATAGTATTTTTTATGACCAATACTATGACAAAAACATAAACTGTCATAACACCTGTCAATTGAAAAAGCTCCACTATCTTTGAGGCTGATACATTCACACATAAGAAATGGATGTACTAATACAACTAACAATTGACTAGTTTTAGAAAAGAAATGGTTACAAAACGCAACCACCTTGCTTTGTGTTTTGAAACATGCCACTCTTTATAACAAATATATTTCTTCAATTCGGTTAGAATGTTAGTAAAAATGATGTCATTATGGTGATAAAATAAATGCCTTTTCTGTTCATATTTAAGTCCAGTAGATGTGAAGATCAATGTGCATGGATCACAGAATCTGGATATTGATACTAAAATGTACGTAAAAGCATCCCACGAGAAGACCACACCAGGTGTTCTACAGGTTACAATCTGAGCGATGGTTTTAGAGAAGATGTTGAAAACTTGTTTGAATGGAGCTGTGCATTAACTGTCATAGGATTAGTGCAACAATTATAGGCCTATCGCGAAACATCCAATTGTTTGTGTCATACGTTTGGTAAAAATGAAAACAGTGTCACAATAGGTGAATACATTGAGGTATATAGTAAACAATTGATATTATCAACTTACCACTGCAGACATTTTGTCAGCTTCAGAGTCACCTCCTAAAATAGAAATAACAAGTCATTTTTATACCCGTTTGTGACACCTTGTATGAATGTGTTCGAAAGTGTCACTGACACACTGGAATGTGTTTGGGATGTCTTCCTTATTTGAAAAATGTGCGTCATATTTCATCACATTTGGACGATTTCTTTTGTTCACATCGGACACAAAGTAATGCGTGACAGAAAGAGTCACATTCTTACTGCAAAGTATGAACTCAAGCGCAGTATGGAATCGAATCAACCTCTGCTACACGACGGTCGATACAATATGAAAACATTTCTATTTAAAAAATGAGCATATAAACCTTAAAATGTGTTTGGTGGGATATACACATCAAACACTAAATAAATTGTTCACACTGATTTACGTTTGCACATAAATGTGCTGTAATAGAGAAAATATGATACTGTAACCCATGAACATGTCAGAGCCAGAAATATATTTCTATATATGTATATTGGTATATATCTCCTGTTTTATAATCACAGAGCCAATTCATATGGCATTACAAAGTGCCATGCATAAATCATAAATGAGCATAACAATTTGTTCAACTATATTGTATGCGAGTTGAGACGAAAGCAAATTGCATTAAAATGATATTTTCAAGATCAATAATGGCTAACAGTTTATCTCAACCTTTTCACCACCAGTTCCATCTTTTCATCACAAATTCACAAAATAGTCCTGTTTATAGTTTCCACTATCCTTCAGAAGATTGAGACAAAAAATAGCCACATTTTTTGTGTAAAAACTGAAAATTTACTAAATTTTCAAATATAATTTACATAATATAAATATAATTTACAAATTTGAGCGAGAAAGTCTAGCGGTGAAGAAGTTAAATTAGATTATAAAACAAAATGCACACTGGCAATACTAATTGGTAACGATGATTTTTTATGACAGCAGAGCCAACAAATATTGTCACAAATAAATTACAAAAACTTGAAGTACCGGTACAGTGAGGACTCTATAGTTCACTTACTAATAGGTGGAGGAAGAGGTTGCTGTGAAGATGGCCGACTTCGAATTGATGGTGAATATCGCTGACTGTCCCTTGACCTTGGCCGTGATTCTTGTGTGACAGGGCGACTACCAGTACTAGTAGCAGGTCTTGATAACTAATATAATTCAGGATAGATTATATTATTTTGGCGATAGACACAATCAACTATAACATCAAATGATTAACTTCATGTACAAAACAGAACTTTGAAAGACAGTATGTTGATAGAAAACTCCAGACATATGAATGTGAGCAATGATACAAACAAACTGTCTTTGTTGAGGTGCCATGTTTTTATTGGTCTTTCTTTACCACCAGTTCCTCTTTTCATCACAAAATCACAAATCTTCAGAAGATTGGGACAAAAGTAGCCATTTTTTTTAACAATAAACTGAAAATTTACTCAAATTTCGTCTGTTGGCTCCAAAATTAGGGTTTATTTCCAGAAATATTCAAGAATATAAGAAAAAAGTGCAGATAAATTTGGGCGAGTAATTCTGGTGGTGAAAAAGCTAAACCATGTGTAATTCATTTCCGACGTACCGACGTAATTCATTTCCGACGTAACTTTACAAAAATGATTCATACTTGTTCATTTATAACACAATAAAGATGATTCTCAGAAATTTGATCATTTTTAATTTGATCTGAAAAACATTATGGTCCCATTATGTACCAAGATCCAAGTCTGGAATGGCAGAATGGTTGATTTTTATGGATTCTTAAGTCCCAGTTATGACGTTGTTCAAACTTGAAGTAATAATATCTGAGTGATCAAAGCCCTGGCATGTCACCCTAACAAGGAGATCAGCCATGTATAAACTTGAAGCCTGCTATTGGATTTTTACTGAAGGCGATCCAATTTATTGGGACCAGGCAGTGTGTGGAAAGTGATGATTTGACACCGGTCGGCAATTTAGAATCAGATCGTCAACCAATACATCTGTATATCTATGACATGACGTATAATGAATATATAAAATTTGAACATCAGTCAAAGCATGTCAGAGATATGGCTCTTAAACCTCATTCATTAAAACAAAGTCGCAACCAGTCAGCCCTTTAGAATCCGACCTTGAAAACAAAATGACGTGCATCAGAAACTCATGATGTCTTATGTATGTACCAAATCGAAATCCATCCATAGAAAAACAAGATCCAGTTTCGAAATGCCAGAAATGCTTGATTTTTAATGTTTTTTTTAGCATAAAAATTACCACCATTCAGCCATTTTGAATCTGATCACCAAACCAATATATCTGTATATCTATGAGATCATGTACATTTAATATTTGAACATAATCAGTCAAAGCATGTCGGAGATATGGTTCTAGAAATGCATTCATTTTGAATTTGATCTGAAAAACAAAATGATGTGCATCAAAGTCCTATAATATCCAATGTATGTACCAAGTTTGAAAAAAAATTCATCTGTGAACAGCTAAGAAATGCTTGATTTCAATGGTTTTTCAGCACAAAAATGGCCACCATTCGGCCATCTTGACTGAGAACGTGAAACAAATTGATTTGCATATGTATAATATTTTGTATGAAGTTTGAATGTAATCGTGTAAAATGTAATGTAAAATGTGAATGTAACACAGGCCTGCCTCAGATCTTCATAGGTCCAGATGCACACACACATACACAGAGGTGTTCGAATGGGAACTAATTACAATGTACTACAATTAGAAATATGATAACAAGACACAGATAATTTGTATCAATGTTTACATCAACATGTCTGAAGTTGTCAAAAAAAAGTTCGCCAATGTGTTTCTTGCTTGTATCGCATGAAATTAATCATTTTATGCTACAGTGGATTGATTGAAATCAGCATAGAAGTTAACTTCTGTCGCATTGATCATTGTTGCTAAGATATATAGCGACCATCATGAAATCTAACGCAGAATTTATGTGTGTTACGCCTCGTGCCAGAGGCAATGTAAATTAACATTTTACACCTCTATTAAAATTACACCTCTATTGTATTGAAGTTAATCTGAGCCTTCCTTTTGTCACTGCCAGCGTAACACTGGCTATCCATCTCACAGTTATTACTACTACAGGTAGAAGTCAAATTGTCATTCCCAAACTATCAAATATTATCTGGTAAAGATGTTTTTCTGGTCCAAATATGTTTTATTGATTTCCCTTTTACAATATTTTGGCAGAATACGCCCTCAAAAAAACCTGCACTTTTCAAACTGACATGCTGAACAGAAACGATCTTTTTGGCTCAATCAATCATGTATGAAAAACTCTTTCTTGTACAGCGCCCTCTGTTGGTCTTATTTACTCACCATTCCATTAACATGGCTGTGAGGCGTACTGCAATGAAAACATAGTATACAGAAATTATTTTATTTGAAACATACCAAAGCATGAACATTAATTCTGAATTTCACTGCACACATTATTATCAGTTCTACGGAGGTGAAAAACTGACCTTATTCTTGATGTGTTATCGACTACAGCTATCTTTCTTACTCCAGGTGTAACAGGCCTCTGCAATGGTTCATCTAATAGGGCAGCATCTAACTGCTACAATCAGAAAAAAAAAATATCGATTTCAATGTCAAAGCTACAATTCTAGACATGAAAACAATTCTCAATCTTTCTTATCCAAATGTAGTCTGTATTCGTGACTTTGGAACGTTCTGACTTCCTTTCGTGTACTGCATCGAAGAAGAAGATCGAACAGATATAACTTTGATAATGTATAATTTTAGAATGGTAGAAAAAACTCCACTTGTATTATGGTCTATGATTATCTTTTCTGCATTTTCTCTTACACAACACCTTGAATCTGTTGAATTCAGAAGTTTGATCACACCGAACAGAACAGACGAGCTGTATTCAAGGTGCTGAGATTTCAAATAGTCCTAATATGTTGTTGACTTTAAATCACAGCAAGATATAAAACTTCTACTTGCTCATTCCAGTATATGGATGTGTTTTATCACAGTATACCGGAAAATACACAGTGCCTTCCTTAGCCTTCACATGCCATGCATTTTACTAACATTATAAGGTCATGGCAGCACTGGATGATTCAATGTCAGTGAGGACTGTCTCAACTTGTTCACAAGTGGACAATACACTTCAACACAAGAAATATAATTCTTAATTTAATAATTTTACACAAAACTTTGAATCAGATCAGACTGTTCATAATATAATGTTCATAAGTTCATAAATATTGATCAACATAAATTCAGGAATGGTGCTAGACCATGATTTTTATCATAATAAACAAATTTCATAATTGGTTTATCATTTAAGTATGTGCATGTCAAACTTTATAACTTCAATGCTTAGATTTTTAGGGCCAAAACCTTCCCCACACCCAAACTAAAGAAATTAAGTTTTTTATGAGACATCATTCAACGTTGTTCCTACGTATGAGTGAAATGAATGGTGACAATCTATTTGATTGGCTGCTGTGATCAGGTGAGAGAAATAAATAAATAAATACAGCACTCAAACACACAGAGAGATGAACTACAAACAGTGTGGAACAGAAGACTTGATATAGTCAATGAATCTTACTGAGGTGAAACAAACATCACACCACTTAAAGTAATGAAATGAACACAGAGGCAACATGCACACGTGGATCAAACAATAATTTCATTAGTGGTTAGTGTATAATGACTAAGTGAGAGGAAGTCTATATGTGGAACAACTCACAAAAATGAAATATTACAATTTTGCAGATATATTCATAGATTCAAAAGATCAAATTATAAACAATTTTAATATACAAATGAAATTTAAATAAGTGAGTGAGTGGATGGATGGATGGATAAATGGATAAATAAATAAATAAATAAATAAATAAATAAATAAATAAATAAATAAATAAATAAATAAATAAATAAATAAATAAACTTTGAGTTTTTTCATAGACTATTAGCTATTAGCTATTGCTAAAACATAGGTGTGTACTTTTCAAGCCATGTACCTTGTTTTTCTTTGGCTTTCCATTGTGTGTCAGTATCTGTAACATAAATAAGCCAAAATAACATACATGCAAGTATCATGCATTATACATCATAGACACTGGATATGGGAGGAAAAGAACACAATCACTGAAAAACGATTACTGGTACATCATTGTTTGTAGACATTTTATGAGGAGCTAATTTATTGTCACTGTCACATAAAACATCCCCAGTACAATTTTTTTTCAAATTTCCATGAATGAAATTAGAAAAAATTACAGTTGTATTGTTTCTAAAATTTCCACAAGTTTTCCATTGGTGAAGTTAGAACAATTCACAGTTGTTGTGTTCCTATATATAAAGCATACAATTAGAAATGATGGTATAATAAGAAACAATAACAATGTGCTGTCCTTGGTACTGACATTTCATGCTTGACACACAATGTTAACATAAAAATAAATACAATGACAATGTTGGGAAGAGGACATTTCACGCTAACACATAATACAATGACAAAATTGGGAAACTGACATTTCACGCGAACACATAATCTAGTATGTTTTGAGTGAGTCATTGCTAACATAATACAATGACAATGTTGGGGAGCTGACATTTAACGCTAACACATAATCTAGTATGTTTTGAGTAAGTCATTGCTAACATAAATACATTGACGAAGTTGGAAAGTTGACATTTCATGCTACCGGTAACACATAATCTAGTACGTTTTAAGTGAGTCATTGCTAACATAATACAATGACAATGTTGAAGAACTGACATTTCAGGCATTGCTAACAAAAATACAATGACAAAGTTGGGGAGCTGACATTTAACGCTAACACATAATCCAGTATGTTTTGAGTAAGTCATTGCTAACATAAATACATTGACGAAGTTGGAAAGTTGACATTTCATGCTACCGGTAACACATAATCTAGTACGTTTTAAGTGAGTCATTGCTAACATAATACAATGACAATGTTGAAGAACTGACATTTCAGGCATTGCTAACAAAAATACAATGACAAAGTTGGGGAGCTGATATTTCACGCTAACACATAATCTAGTATGTTTTGAGGGATATTCAATGCTAAATTAATACAATGACAAAGTTGGGGAGCTGACAATTCATGCTAAAACATAATCTAGCATGTTTTGAGTGAGTCATTGCTAACATAAATACAATTGAGGAACTGACATTTAACCTGAAATTCAAGCTATTGCAGCGTAAACTTACCCCCAGATACTCTGTTTGCAACAACTGTTCACCAACAATTTCTCCGCGTTCAGGTTTTACAACTTCAGCCTTATCAAGATCAGCTTCCATGGCATCTTGTTCTTCCTGAAAAACAACAAATAATAACACTTTCATTACAACCTCCCGTAAAATCTGTATTAGAAACCAAGTGTCGGAAAATGTGTTATTCCTTTGACGGCATAGATGAGAAGAACAGATGCCTTCATAGAGAGAAATACTCAGCAGAGATCGATACCTGAAGCAAGCTCAACGCATGATACCTCCATGACATCGTCTACAACAAGACAGACGGTCAAACTCCCTAAATCGCAGTTGCCGTAACATTCTAAAAAGGACTACGTTCATGGACACTTTCACATCGTCAGTAGATAAGGACCTTAAGCTGGAAGAGGTCCAGAAATTCTAATACTTGACTGCTCAACTAGGCGGTGAAGCAACGCGAACGATCGAGGGCCTCCAGTTAACCAATGCAACTATCCAGAAGCGATAGCCACCTTGAAACAATGGTATGATCAGCCCCACGAAATTATTTCAAGCTACACGAAGGCACCGCCACCAGTTAATTTGTTATCCAGCATGACAAACTCGTACGACAATCTCAAAACGCACATCGGTAAAAGTAAGGATTCGTATGGTGATTTACTTGCGCCAATCATTTTTGATAAATTTCCGGCAAACGTCAAAACCAAGATTTCCCGCGAGCACGGCAACACAGCGTGGTCACTACACGAGTTAAAGGAAGCGGTCCATAAGGAAATTCAAGCCAGACAAGCAGGTACCTCCATAGAGTACTTCAATGATAATTTCTCCAGTGAAAGGTGTCTACCCTCTATAACATCCTTTCATGTTGGACACAAATCTTCTCGATCTACGGTCGCTAAACCCACAAGATCCTTCAAGTGCACCTACTGCAAAGGGCCACACTCTACACACGTCTGTGAAACCGTTGTCGGACATAATGCACGTAATGCATTTGTGAAAAGATACAGATTGTGTTTCAACTGCTTAGGACATCATACGTTATATGACCGCAAATCCAAATTTCATTGTAGAATAACCTGATATGTAATCATAGACTTATATCATGTTCATGTTTTATAGTATTGTGTTTATAATATTCGTAATTGTATGTAATATTCAAATTGCAATTCGTTCAAGTTGTGCTATTCGTTTAATTAGAGTGTTCACGCCGCGTCACAGTTTTCGTTAATTCATATTGTATCAATATATTTTTATATTTCTGTTTATAACCTTATTTGTTAAACTATTATTTTCGATTATCTATCTGCTCAACCGGCCGGCCGGCCCGGAGTGTCGGAAAATGTGTTATTTCTTTGACGGCATAGATGAGAAGAACAGATGCCTAACCATATGTAGTCTCTACGACTTAAGTATTATGCAACATCTTGCTACCCTACAATTTCTGTTTACACAAATATTGACATGTAACAGTATATAGATGCTTAGTTTTAACGATTAAATCAGTTGTTACTTTGTGTTCTAACTAGACACACACCTCGTCTTAGTCTCCCCTACTCCACGACCCGAACCTTTCCCTACACCAAGACCAAGGTACAATGCAGCAAAGGAGATGCAGCTTCTGTTAGAGCATCTATACATAAGACAATTGGTGAATTTTTGGTTCTCAGTTTTTCAAAGAGAATGGGTAAGGCTTTTATTAAGGACGAGGCTTCTAAGGTACTCCACTTTACTTTACCATATTTCCAATGTTAGAATAGCATTCAAATGCCAAAAAGCTCATTAAAAGTATATCAACTTGAAACCCATTTTTATTTTGTTCAAACTCTCTTGCTCAAAAACTCATTACAACAAATGAAGCTGATCAAACCTGTGAATAATTATTCCTGCACATGTTTATGAATATTTCTATTTCTTGTGTTGAACCAAATTTAATTACCCATTGTGTAAAGTGAAAGAATAGGACCTAAGCTCACACATGTGAAGTATTGTCAGAAAATACAAAATATTTTTATAAAACATTTTAATAAAACAACAAAACCTCTTCATTTCTATGTAATTAGTGCTAATCAAATGTGATTGATTGCCTCTATGTTACCTCATCATCATCTTCATCCTCATCATCGGATTCTGCATCTTCATCTGGAATATCAGCTATGAAGATAACGACAAAGGTGTCAAGGTTAAAATAGACCCTAATTATTCGAATATATCGTCTTTGCTCTATTAGTAGCACATGTGCTACAGATGTGTTAAAAAAAGTCACATTTCAACGATTCAGTAAACAGCATATGTTTTTTTGGTTTATTTTATTGCTTTTAAAAGAGACAATATGGTAGAGAGATAATCGAGATTAAATAGATAATTGGTACCCTAATTAGAAATACAAAATACAAAAGTCAGTCAGTCGCCCTCCCTCCATGCACCAATTTGCAGATGAAGTGGATGGCAGGACAATTTGAAAAAGAATTACTTTTTCAACATAAAATATATCTGATATATGTATACAATGGCTAATTTCTGGTCAGTTGTCTGTTAAAACACAATGTATGTTTTGTCTTTTTAGACAGGATGTTTAGGGACAATAACCAATCCCCATCTTCAATAATAACTTTACCAAGATGTTTAGGTTTGGAACTATTTCAATAGATACATGGCCTCTAGTCAGCCATACTGAATGTAAATATATAGACAAAACATTACAGACAATGGAGTTTAAAAGTTACCATCAAGGCCTGCACACACATACACACAGTTAGACTGGGCATCAAAGTCATCCCCAATTCCAGTCTACATGTGTAACAATATATACAAAGACAGAGGAGAATGTGTTCAGTTCTCTAAACTAAATTAAGTGCTTATGTGTCCCATTAGTATACTGTCAAGGAGTTTATGTGCACCTGCACACAGTGCAATTCTTGATTCCCTGAATTACTGAGAGATGCAATGTAATTATTTTTGCACATATGTAACCTATTTAGCAACAGGCAAGGGTAGGATAGAAATATAAAAAGTCAAAAAAGAACAATGTACAGACAACCCTGGAAGAAGACAGCAGCATATTTGAAACATTTTTTAAAAGACCATGGAGTGGGCGGGTTTAAAAATGGTCAGCTAGGACTATATAAGACAGATGAAGAAACTAATTTTTGTTATTTAGACTGAAACGAGTTAGTTAAAATATGATGGCACCTTTATTTTATTATTGTCTATTATAGTTTTTTTGAGCTGTGAGTTGGAAACACGGACGAACTATGTACCTTTGACTCTGCACATTTAGAATGTTGGTGAAATCTATCCTACTTCAGGTTCGATGATCCTAGGTCACACACTATACTCAAGTACACAAATACACAAATGCTATCAATTCAAGAAGCAGGAATTTAACATGAACTTGAGCCCTCCTAATAAAATCTCCTAAGACTTACTTGAGTTGAGTTGTTTGATAATGAATTGGATTTGGCGACTCATATCAGGATTATCATCTTTCAAGAAACATCTTAAAATTTCTTCTAAGCCCTAGAAATTATAAAGTAAACAAATAAGTAAGTAAATATGTTTTTAAATGAATAAATAAATAAATAAATTAATTAATTTTAAAATATGAAATGACATGGTAGTCTAGAGTGAACTACTTGGTTACATTCAACAGTTAGGCCAGACTTTTTTATTTCTTGTTTCTTGAGTTTTTATAAGGCAATTTGTTTGAGGAGGGCAGAAAATAAATAAAATTAATACTTTTTTTCCATTAGATTTGTGTGATTCTCAAAGAATTGTAAGTGAGATCATTGATCAGAGAGAAGAAATGAAATCAAATTTTATTCCATGTATAACCTTGTTTCTCATCTGCGCGAGACATTGGTACTTTGATCATGCTACTCCCACGAAAATGCAACTTGGATTTGTTATGCGGCGGGCTTTAAAAAAATGAAGATAAAAATAATATTTTTTTAGCAATTTTTGTGCTACAATTTAATTTTTATTTCATTTTCGGGTTCGCGAAACAAGGGATAATAAAAGTCTGGCCTTACAAAGTACAACATACCATTGCTTTTGCTTCCTCTCTGATTACTGGAATAGATAATATACTGTACAGTGCTCCATTCACGTAAGGTCGAATCTGTTAAACAAATAAGTTACTACTACATGTATTCACAATCTCTTTTTAATTGATACATATAAAAATTTACAAAGACTCCAGTAGCATTCATCAACAGCTCCTTAGCGTGACATAAAACGTTAAAAACGTTAGCCCATACTAAGAAAGACTTGCAAAAATGCTTAGTACGAGTCAGTAATTACGAGCTACATCTGACCTGTTTTTAAAACCAGATACAGTAAATTAGTATGGGCTGTCGAATACGAAGCTTAGGGCATGTTGGCTAGCAACTAAATACCATTGTAATTGTTGCACTTTGTGTATGGTAGAACTCACACAACACTCTGTACAATACTGCTGTTACACAACTCACCTCCTGGTTTTCATGTCCTAGTAAATCACTTAATACTTTCAATATGTGAGCAGCATCTTCACAGCATTTATGCTTACCTGGTATAATATATAAAGGAAATATTTTTTGAGGAAAAAAAAATCATGAAACAGTTTTTTAACAGGATGAACTACTTCTGGTCTGCACCAAATTCTGTGTTTGCTTTCTTACATTCACTTGAGCAACTTAAGACATGAAATATGATTAGTGTTGTATCCTCTTATGTTGCTATAGTCACACGATAAATTGCATTAACTACATGGAAATTATTTATGAATTATAGATTTTTAATTTTCATGAATTGTAACTGAGATCTCATTGAGAACGAGAAAGCCACGGGAATGTTTTTTGTCCTTCAAATAGAGCTTTACTCGCTTCTGTCATCAAGTGACCATACGCGACTATGATCTATTCTCGATTTGATAATGATCACATAATTTTATAACTTTGAGGTTCAAATGATTTGGTGTTCTGCAAAACGCACAAAGGGTACAAAACAAATGGTATTCTCTGGCGCTTACATCCAGGCATTTTCATCCCCTGGCAACCGCCACAGTGGAAACAAAGGCCGAAAACTCATAGGAAACTCACAGACTAGTTGTTGAGACTCTCCTGAAAAGACTGTCCCTACACATGTGCAACATATGTAAATTTGGTTGGTCAGGATTACTTCAAACTTGAATATGTTTTCATCGGCTCTTTGAGGTGTTCCACAGCAGCTTGTGCATAGAAATACAATGTACAGTGGTGCACATGTCAGCAACATAGAATGTTATGTGGCGTAGCCCTGCCCCCTGAGAATTTTTTTTTTTTTTAGCAAATCGAAAATGAACCCGAGATATTTTTCAAGTTTGCTGTCAAATGTGTCATCCATATGTTCAACCTTCTCCCAGGATGCAATGCAATGTGTTTGTATCAGAGTGTCACTAGATATTACCTGTTGTTCTAAGACATAAATTCATAAGTAGTGCTACTGAATACTCCAATGTGTAATCTGACAAGGCATCGCTGTCCACAAGCACCGATACCAACCATGATATCATACCACCTTCTATCATCTGAGATTGGAGTGGTCGCCTAGATAAAATAAAAATAAAGACTCACAATTATAATAAGCTGCTTTAATTTCGCGACATAAACTAAGAAAAAAAGCCTAATTTTGTAGCAGTGAATATTTTAATAAATACATGTACATAAAACATAACTCTCAGAACAAGCTGTAAATATAAAATGTGTTCAAATGATGTTGTTATTCCTCAGCCATATATATCTACAAGCTAACTGACCTTCAGACAAAACAAAGTATCCTAACTCGGTGAGTGACACTGTCTATTGTTTCAAAATCTAACTTAATTTAAGAGGGCAGCTTAAATTCCTATTCAGCAGTTATTTTTAAATTACAAATACACAATCTCTAGGTATGGTATCTCATAAATTTGCCAAGTGGGAATGCAACCCTGAGGCAGTTCACAGCAAATTAAAATTTCACAATTCTGAATATGTTACTGTGCATAATATGCCAAACAACTTCAAATTGTGTGTAATGAAAATCTGTTATGACACTGGAAACACACACAATGTTAGGATGCATAATATCAATAATAATATAAGTGTAGTTACTTTAAACTCAGTTTTTGTAGAGCTCCTAGAATATTTTCTCTTGTAATGGAATCTTTGTCTTCTGACTGTAAAGTTTCTTGTAATACAGGTAACAACTGTGAGTTTTTTGCAAGGTATGTACGACCTAAAATATTATCAGAATGAGAAAAATCACAATTATATCACAAATATGTCTAAGATATTTATTTGGATGACTCAGTTCAATTGTGAGACTAATGTTTTAAACAGTATTACTAAGATCCAACTACATGCATATTTGAGAGCTACAATGCTATAAGAGTCCTTTTAGTATTTGACATAACACCAAGGGTTTGCAGGTGAACGTTTGACTCTTGGGAATGTGTAGTTGCTGTGTACAAATTCAGTTAAACACAAGTCGTTGACAGTGCCGGGCACGCACGAACTTCGAATAAGGCTGGAGCATTACTGATGCAATCAAACAACATATCACATGTACTTGAAACTTAAAATCAAAGAAAGCTTAGAAAGAACTCCCATGTGCTGAGAGTATTGGAGACACATTAAATATAATTTGAAATTACTTAGCTGAAAACTAATTATGCAAATCAGAAAATTAACATGAACAGATTTGATTGTAAAACTAATAAGGTCTGCGCAATGTAACAAAAACTCTATGTACCAAGTTTAATTGAAATGTGACTAGAACCAAAAAATCATGAATTATTATGCTAATTGGGGAAATAATATGAACAGAGTTTTACCCCAAACTAATTAGGTTTGTACATTGTCCTAGAGCATCTTTGTACTAAGTTTCATTAAAATGGAAATTAGTACTTCAGATATCAGTGTGAAAGCTTAAAATTGGTTAATTATGCAAATTGGGTAATTAATATGTACAGATTTTAACCCACAATTATCCAGGTCTGTCTCTTGTCCTACAGCATCCATGTATGAACATTCATTGATATGTGATGATTACCGTAGTACCTGAGATATCAGTGTGAAAGTTGGAAATTGGTTAATTATGCAAATTAGGTGATTAATATGCACAAATATTTACCAAAAACTAATTGGGTCTCTGCATAATTTTAGATTCATTGAAATGTGATGATTAGTACTTTAGATATCAGTAGAAAAGCTGAAAAATAATTATGCAAATTAGATAATTAATATGCACAATTATTTACCCTGAAACTAATCAGGTCTCTGCATAGTCCTAAAGGATCTATGTACCAAGTTTCATTGGAATGCGATGATTAGTAC